GACACAGATGTCCCTCCTGGCTGCCAGGACACACTGTTGGCTCAACCCCTCCAGCTCCATCCCACCAATTACCTCCACAGCCCGATCACTGCGGATCTTCTCCTCCAGCTCGGCAAAGGAACGGGAAGCAAAGGGTGGCTTCCCAAAAAGTGCTTCTGTGGGAGAGGAAGGACAACTGTGGGGGGAAGCAGAGGGGGAAACTGGCCTTGAGAGGGGGGATAAAAGCAAAATCCTACCATAAAGGATGACACCCACGGACCACAGGTCCACGCGGGCGTCGTACTGCTGCCGACACACCATCTCGGGGGCCATGTAGAGGGGCGACCCACGCAGGACGTGCTTCTCATCCCACGGGGACATGTACTGTGCAAAGCCGAAATCTGCGGGGACAGAGTTCGTGGGGGGACAAGGAGAAGGAATTTCCCCCCCCCAGCCCCTCCCAGGGAGCTGCCCTGACCTGCCAGCTTCAGCAGGGGGTGATCCGGGGTGCTCAGCAGGATGTTCTGCGGCTTCAGGTCCAGGTGGGAGATGTTACGGTCATGGAGGAACTTGAGGGCACAGGCTGGGCAGGTGGATGGGTGTGTGGCAGCACAGCACTGCCCCTCCAAACCCCCAGGGAGTGGCCCTGGCAGAGCCTGCGTGGGAGAGGGGAAGGGTGTCCTTACCAAGCTCAAGCTGCTGCAGGAAGATTCGTGCCACCTTCTCGGGGAGGATCCTGCGCATCCGGATGAAGCGGGAGAGGTCCCCCCCAGCGCAGAATTCCATGATCAAGTAGATGTGATCATTGTCCCACTGTGAGGCAAGAGGACCCCATGATCATGCCACCCCAGCCAGTCCCACCCATGCAGCTTTGCCCAGACCAGTTTGCCCAGTTGCTGGCACACCCTTGGCAAGCTGGGATGGACCCAAACTGGAGTAGCTCTGGGTTGGAGCCCTCTGGGAAGCCCCAGCCCACCTGGAAGTCCTTGAGCTCCACGATGTGTGGGTGGCGGATGCCCTTGAGGATCTCGATCTCTGTCAGCAGGTTCTCCACTGACGCTCGGTTCAGGCTCTTCTTATTCACACACTTGATGGCCACCACCTCACGTGTGTCCTTCTGCCAATGAGGGGACAGCTCTGGAGACCCCACCAAAACAACCACCCTGGGCTGCCCCTCCAGCCTGACAGGTGGGGAGGGGAGGGAAGGAACCCCTAGAAATAGGGTAGCAGGTCCCATGTGGGGGCTATAAAATCAAAGAATTTAAGGGTTTGGAATGGACCTTAAGGATCATTCAGTGTCAACCCCCTGCCAAGGGCAGGGACACCTCCTACCAGGACAGGTTGCTCAAGGCTTCATCCAACCTGGCTTTGAACACTGCCAGGGCTGGGGCAGCCACCCTCACAGGAAAATACTTTTCCCTATTATCTAATCTAAATTTCCCCCCTTTCAATTTCTCCCCTTTGACCTGTCACTGCAGCTCCTAACCAAGAGTCCTTCTGCAGCTTCCCTGGAGCTCCTTCAGCTCCTGACAGGTTGCTCTGAGCTCTCCACACAACCTTCTCTTCTCCAAGCTGAACAGCCCCAACTCTCTCAACCTGTCTGCATAGGGGAGATGCTCCAGTCCTTTTATCAACTTCGTGGCCTCCACTGGACTTGCTCCAACACGTATACATATATACACACACCTTACATATATATATATATATATACACACCCCATATATATATCTCAAGAGCACTACAGGGGTCGTACCCCACGTGGAGGGCTGGAAAATGGGGGTCCCTGGAGGAGCACCGCCGCGGCAGGCCAGGCCCTACCTTCCTGTAGGCCTTGTAGACAGTGGCGTAGGTGCCGGAGCCGAGGCGCTCGGTGAGGATGAACCCGTCCAGGCGCGGTGGGGCCCAACTGGCCCCGGCCATAGCCTTCCCCCCCACCCC